ATATACATCTAAAAATCTAATGAAAATTTCTCGTTTGTTTGAATTATAGTGTCTCATATCAATATTGTTATGCTGTATTTGGTTGTATACCCGATATTTATTTTATCTGAATTCAAAACAATATATAACTATTCTGTATTGGAGCTTATATTCATCCGTTCCTGATTTAGCGCGACAATGTCGCGCAGCTACTTAAGTTGATATTAAAAATTATTTAGGAGACGTACCTGACAATTCTTACAAATAAAGTTTGCATGTGACAATCTCTCCATGTAAGACAAAAAAATTCTATAGTAAACGTTCTTCATACCACAGAGTCAATTTAAAGATATTCGGATCCAACGCTAAAAGTTCTTTGTACAACACATCCTAAAAGCTCTTCGCACAACTAAGACAATTTAAAAATTCTTATAAATGCATAATCCATTTAATAGTAAATATCCTTCTTGTAAAATTATAAGTTACAGCATTTGAAATAAAGTTCCGACATATTATAGCTATATTGAAGTTACACATTATCCTGTGATCTTATTTGTTTACCTGGGTAGCCAAAAAACCTAACCGGCGGTTAACCGGGTAAGGTTTTTTGAACGGGTCCAACCCTTAGCTTGAACCTGAAAATGCAGCTACGTTAAAATTTTATTTTGAGTTAGAAGGATATAAAGTGTCTTCAGAAAAACCGACCAAATTACTAAAAATCAATTCTAAAAATAGATCATATTATAAATTAAAAACTATGAAGATTCTCTTAGAATTTTACCAAAATTATTAAATATTAAATAAGAAAATAATAATGCATGAAGAGCTCGAGAGCAAGCATATTATATACTCAAAGATTATCATAAAGATTAAAATAAAGCGTTGGAAATTAATCAAAATGGTGCAGAAGCTTTAAGAGTCGGAGGAAAACTCTATTATGATTTGAAAAAATATAACAAATCATTTACGGATTCAATGAATTCATTAGAAATAGTGTTAGGAAAACACCTTTTATGTTAAATTGCTATGAAGAATCTCTTGCATATCTAAATAAATCGCTGGGACTTGAGCCAAATATGTAGATGCATTAAAATTCCGGGCGAAATCGTATTCTAACTGAGTCGTAACGAGGAATTACAAGCTGATTTTTTTGATAAATATTATCAATAGAAGAACAGAAATTTAAACATGAAAAAAGATACGAAGAATATGCTGTATCATGAGGACAGGTGCAAACGTATTAACGTGATACAATATATCTGCAGCTTTAGACGTCACGACGACAATTTCATAATCAAGAACAGAAAATTTGCTACATTAATATTTTTTTCATAGTCTTTTAAAGTCTATTTCTCATTATCTCATTTTTCGTACTAAGTTCTGCGTTTCTGCTGATTATAGCCCAATTTATTGTAGCAAATAGAAAATCTGGGACAGTTACGTCAATCACTAAGTTTCAAACCAATATCAGTATCCGGATTACAAATATTAATGTAATAATATTTAACGTTTAATAACAAAATATCGAAAAAACATGGCTTAAATTCCTATATTTTACAAATAAGAATATAATAAAACAATTTAGTTTTTATTTGCTCTAAAATACAGAATTATAACTTAAAAGGAAATAAAATTATTTTATTGCTAACATTTTGTAGTATGCCACTTTTTTTAATGGGTTTTTTAATGCACTTGCGATTCTTTTCGAGTTTATTCTAGTTGCTGTCATCAGATATGACTTCTTTTTTTTTTTTTTTTGCCCTATGCCAATTTTGCTTTTATCAATTTTACTGAAGTTGCTTGAAGTGAATTTGGTCCTATTACAAACTTAATAAATGATATAGATGTTGAAATGATTTTTTTCTATTAGGGTGATTCATAATTAACATATTTCAAAAATAAGTGAAAGTACAAAATGTCCTAGTTTGTTTTGAAATTTTGAAATTAGAAAAAGAAATGGAGATAAAACGAGTAACCTTTTTTTTTTTTGATGATGTTTTGTTATTTATAGTTATTGTATGGGTATGTGTGTAATTACCCAATTACACGCGGGTTCATATCCCGTGCATTCAGCACGGGATTTAATCCGAATTTCAAATCCAATATCGGATTTCAAATATTAGCAATAATATCGATATATAATAAGTTTCAAAAAAACATAAAATTTTTGTATTGTACAGATAGGAATATAATTTGCTATAAAAATACTGAAGTATACAATATTGGGCAAAAATTGTCGAATAACGGTAATTTGGCAAATGGGCGCGTGCCGCTTTGTGGCACGTGTAGCCAATCATTTGTCGAATTACCGTATTCGACAATTTGCCCAATATTGGTGTTATCCGGCAATTTATGATCATGATTGGTAGGGAGTCGCTCGCTGAGTTTTATTTTTTGAATATTGGAATAACATAATTATATCGTAACACATGAAAAAAATAACAAGAAATTTTTTCATGATCATATGAGTTTGCCGGATAATTATAAATTATTTTCTTGCTTATATTTTGCATTATTTTAATGTCTTTTTTTTTTCTTTTTTATGTACATGTATTCATTCCGAGCTTGTTAGTAGCTGCTGTCGTCGTCAAAAATTACTCTTTTTTTCGCCTTTGGTCAATTTCCTTTTATTCATATATACAGAAGCTGCTTGAAGTGAAATTTTTGTCCTATAACAAATTTAATAAAGCATTTGTATGTAATAAAGATAGTGAAGTAATTTTTTCTATTAGTATATTGTGAGCTTTTCTATAATTGCAAATAAAATTTTGCGGATTTTCCATCGCGTTTCGTTTCAATATTAAAATTGTCTTCGGTTTCAATAGAATTTTTACTACAGTATTATATGTAAATAAAATATTATTCACGCTTAATAAAGGATCGCTTTGATCATTTTATTCAAATATAATTAATTTGAGTTTTCATTGTTTTTTTTTATTGTAATTATTAATTCAGAAATCGGAGTTAGCGTAACCTGTCCCATATGCCAATAGGGTGATCAAATCAAACACCGTAAAATATGGAAAATAAACACAGCACCCTCTACCCTGCTTTTTTCAATTTCAGATTAACGGGAATAGCTTGATTAAAGATTTTATCGTTATTTCCGCTAATCTGAAATTGAAAAAAGTAAGGTAAAAGGAGCTGTGCTTATTATAGTTATGACTATATGTTTAATTATTATGATCGGATTTTTAAAGGTTAATTTAACATACGAATTTGCATATGAATTCGCACTGATTTATGTCCACTTTTTTTACTTAACTGACAAAATTGCATCGTATTTATTTTTAAGCTATAATTCTAGACTAACTCTATACCGTAATAGAGCCAGTTTTGTAATAACTTTAAAAAAAATTTCATTCTAATTTCATGAAAAGTTATTGCAAAAATGGTTCTATTATAGTATAGAGCGAGTCTAGAACTATAGTTTAAAAAAAAAAAAAGCGATACAATTATGAATGTAAGTTAGGTAAAAAAAAATGTACCTAAATCAGTGCGAATTAATATGTAATTCGTATGTAAAATTAACCTTAAACATATAGTCATTACTATTATTTGATTTAATATAATTCTATGTAATTATCATTAAAAAAAATTTTTTTGTATATGTCTTCCCTTATGTCGCAATGAAAATAATCGCTCAACATACAAGTTAATAAAGCAAATACCATAAATCGCCGTATACAAGGCTCCCATGATAGTATTAATAATCAAACATGTTTTTTTTCCCAGATATCTGGATTGCCTATTATAAATGCAAAACGTGCATACTCTTCGAACTTTTCTTCTTAGTGGCATGACCTCTCGGCTGCATACTAGTCCCGGGTCTATTATAGGTTTTAAATTTGGTGGAATGTAAGATACCCGGGTCTTGTATAAGGCGATTTACAGTATTTGGAGATAATTATAATATCTGCCCTATAAAAAATAGTTTCTTTAATCTTTGTCAGTATTTTTCAAAAAAACTTCAGTAAGGAGTCGCTATAGATATAAAAACAGTACAAGATCCATGTACGGATTTTATTTTGTTGCTATACCTGATAACTATAGCGACTCCGTTCCGAATATTTTAAATTATACCGACAAAATTAAACAAACCTTTTTTTATAGGGATGGAGAAAAAAAACCATGAATTGACGGTTCCCGTGTCAATCATAGAGTATAATTTGGCATTTACAAAAAGAACAGCAGTGATAAAAAATCATATTTTAACTATTTTAAATATTCGGGTCGTAATATAGGTGAACAGCAGTGTTAAATATCTACCGCACCGTATAGTCACAAAATAACGCCCATAAGCGTTATTTAGAATAATACTCAAATTAATCCTAATTTAGGAAAACTTTGAAACTATGTGGTAATGTTCTCAAGAACATTAAAATATTTTAAGAACAAAAAATTTAGAAATTTGTAAATTTTATTATTTAAATAATTGTCGAGAACATTAAAATTTTTTTATGTTTACAGAGAAACAAACTTTTTTTGGATATTTTTCATTGACAACAGTTTTATTTTGTTTAATATTTGAATATTTTATTATTTTGATAATAAAATAACAATAAAAATTTCATTTTTTTACTAATATTATTTTATTTTTTAATTTTTTTTAAACTAGATTTTTTTGTTTTATTAAAAAATCAAATTATTTTCTTTTTTAAAATTAGAAACGCACCTATGAGTTTTACACTTACCTGTGCATACATTATCTCAAAAACTACCAATTAATAAGCGCAGGATGCTCTAAGCAAAAATTTTCTATGTTCCCATAAACCCTTCCCAGACCTTAACTCAAATCCTAAATATTAACTTTTAACATGAAAAATTTGCTCTAAAAATTTTATATAAATAATTTATAAAACGTAGATAATCTAAAAAACATAATAAAAACATAATCAGTGCAAAATCACTATAGGATTTATAACAAATATAAACCAAATTATATAGTATATTTAAAATTTTTTTTCAGAAAGGTTGCTTAAAAAATGGATCAAAAAATAAATAAATAAGTAAAATTTTAACTATGCTAGCTCGAATTCCATTCTATGAAAATTTCTCATATGTTCTATGATTATATTGATAGGAATAATATAAACATATGGTCTGTTCTCAACACCACTTTGGAGAATTCCTACTAATTTATTATCTATGTCAAAAACTGGTGAACCAGAATCTCCAGGTTCACCTGTAAAACGCAAGTCAAAAATAAAGTTTTAATTTAATATTACTAAAAAATAATTATTTACTTACCAAATGCTTTTTCATCTCCATTTACTTTTAAAGCAACAAGTCTTCTTGGTGGGTTAAAATTATTAGACATAAAACCTACCCATAAATCACACATATCTCCTCTTGTGTGATACGTAGTTCTACCGACTTTCTCAACTTTTATTATTCTTCCTGAAGTTCCATTTACAGATGTATCAAAAGACCCGATACTTCTCTTAAGTCCACATAATTCATTCGGAATTTTATTCACTCTACCATTGTCTTTAATTTCACAAAACGCATAATCAATAATATGATCATCCTGATCAACTTCTAGACAGTGGTATTGTGTTACATTAGCACAATCCTGAGAAGTCATCTAAAAAATCTGAATTAAAAAACAAATTAACGAAATAAATCAGAAGAAAAATTACTTATACTCACGCCATTTACTAGATCTATTTTACCAGGTTGACACACTAAAGTGTCTACAGGTCCAACACCATGTTTAGTAGTAAGGATATAATTTTTTTCTAAATCTGATCTTAACTTAGTTACAAGACCCAAAGTGCATGCATTAACTTCATTAATATCTCCAATACTGATACCAAGTTCAAGCAAATAATGATAATTACGATGAAATCCTTTCACTATTCCATAATCAATTAATACAGGATAATTTCTAAAGTCAGGTGGTATTTCGTTTGGTATCGGTGTTTCAGGTAATAAAGTAACAATAAAAACTTCTCTTTCATCAACGGAACCAAAGCCTATATCAGAAATTCCCTTTATATTTCCAATTTCTTTTCTAAACTCAATTTCAGTTTTAATGAGATTTCTACGATTATCTTCAATTTTGATTGGATTGACTTTTCTATCATTGAGTAATTCCAATTTTGATGTACTTTTTATATCTGAAATTCAGTAATAATGATATTTTAAGATATTTAAAATTCATTGGCTAAAGCCAGATATGTAAAAGAGATTTATATACCAAATGATTCTTCACGAAGCTTATTTAAAATCTCAAGAACTGATTTTATGTCTGGACGTTTGGCCGGTTCTTCATCCCAACATAGTTTGTAAAGTTTTACATAGTCAGGGTTGGTACCTTCTGCAGGAGTTTCTCTTTCTCCATTAAACACATGAATAATGACAGCAAATCCAACCCCAAGAGATCCGAATGGTGGTTGTCCACTAGAAATTTCCCAAAGAATAACGCCCAAGCTATATATATCTGATCTCATATCACGTCGATATTGAGGATCCTTAAAGCTTTGGGGTTCGATATATGCCGGCACTCCACGAGCGATTGAAGTTGTAAATGATGCCTTATTCGCATGCTCAGGTATACCAAAACCTGTAATTACCATTTTTTCTTCACAAACCAAGATATTCTTAGAATTCTGCAATATAGTAAATTAATTATTGATAAATAGTCATATAAATACACATTAATGAATATAATTATAGGGTTCTTACTAAACCAAGGTGAGCAATTCCATTTTTGTGAAGGTACTCAAGTCCTTCTGCTATTTCTATAGCTATACATAATTGTCTTATCCATTGTAATTCGGAAAAATTTTTCCTCAAATAATCACTTAAGTTTCCTCCATCAATAAATTGCATAACCATAATATAGCGTTTTCTGGAAGGATCTATTTATTACACAAACAATTGCAATTGTGATTAATACAAGCGAGCATATTTTATTGTCATTTAAAATTATATAAAATTACCTTTGGTTATCCCGTAGAATTTAATAATATTTGGATGGACAGCGTTTTGTAAAACTTGAAGCTTTGAAATAATATTTAATTTCAGATCAACATTTAAGATAAGTGTATGTAGAGATAAAATCAAAGGATTAGATTATACCTCTTTAACAATCTTTTTGTCTAAATACTTATTGTGAACTTTAAGATGTTTAAGAGCCACAATTGACCCACGTGGTTTCCATGAAGACTTATATACTGTACTAAACTCTTCTTCAGCAACCATTAAATGATCTTCAAATTGGTCATAATTATAGGAAATAATAGATTTTTCTGAAATTGCTTCTTCAAGAAATTCTCCTGAAGAATCTTCTATGCTTACATGGGTGTCCGTTGGTTTAACTATATACTGATTAAAAAATTCAATAATTTCCTTTATTTTTGGGCGTTTGTCTGGATCATCATCCCAACATCGTTTATACAGTTCAACATATTCAGGTGGTGTACCCTCTATAGGTTCTTCTCTTTCGCCATTATATATTTTAATTGCAATTTGTATTCTCTTTGATCTGGGAAAAGGTCTGTGTCCACTCGAAATTTCCCAAAGAACAACTCCATAACTATATATATCCGATTTAACAGTACGTTCATACATAGGGTTTTTTAAACATTGTGGATCCATAAATGCTGGCATTCCGTCAATAACCGTGTTTGACGAATCAGGGGTCGTTAATTTAAATAAATCAAAATCAAAATCAGAGATCATTATCTTATTTTCGTGAACGAGAATATTTTTTGGATGCTATGAAACATAGTAAAATAGTTAAATAGAAGCTTTAAAAATTAAAAACAAGAGATACACTTACAAGATTCCTATGAATTATATTATGATAATGTAAGAATAGAAGGCCTTGCGCTATTTCTCCTGCGATACGATATTTATCTGCCCATTCTAATTTTGAAAAATTTTTATTCAAATATTCGCGCAAATCTCCATCTTTGGCATATTCCAAGACCATCATATAACTTCCAAAATGATCTATAGGATCTATTTACAATACAAGAGAGCAGATTTATTCAAACCTTATTATAGTCACTCATTTAATTGAGTTAATAGAAATACTAACCTTTAGTTACGCCATAAAACCGATTTAATTTAGGATAAAGACTTACTCTTTGTAAGAGTTGAAGCTTATATGCGCGCAAGATAGTTTGTATTAGTTAATAAAATTTATAAACAGCTTTCCAATAATCAGTAACTATTCTTTATACCTTCTCTACAAATGAATCTTTGTCCTTTTCTTCTATATCAAATCTTAGACTTTTAAGAGCGACAGTTAATCCGCACTTCGTCCATTCGGATTTGTATACTGAACTATCACCAATTTTTTCTTTGCCGCTGAATTCATTACAATCAAAGAAATTAATAAGTTTGTCCGCAACAGCACTTTCAAGCCATTTAATGCCAGTAGTTTTTTTTGAAAGAGTTTCCATGTTCAATGAACCAAGACATGAAATATTGCATCAGGGCTGGAAACGCTATTTAAATAGTGGCTATTTACTGCGCCAAATTCCATTACTTAAAGTGTCTTTTTTGATACTTCAAAATTGGTATTTAGATTTACCGACGGAGTGATATATAATATCACGAAGCGTATGGTTTATAGGCATTTTTAGTGATGCATGTACGCAAAATCTCATAATTGATTGTTCAATGTATTAAATGCAATGAAACGTGACCCTATAAAAAAGGTCGATCCGTGTTTTATTTACGGTTTATAAATTCCGTGAATATGTAACATTTACGGAAAAACATAGAGATTATTCGGATTGTCTAGATTTTGTCAATCATGTTGCAGCTTTCACAAAAAAATATGGAAAAAATATGGAAATATTCGGACAAAATTTTTTACAGTGTCATATTCTGCACTTAAACTTCACAATATTGCATCACATAGCGCTATATTTATATATAGTATGAGATTTGTTTAACCATAACGAACGTTCGACTTGTATTTTTTATTGCTTAACAGGTTTTTACCTCAATTAATGTGCTTTTTTTTATTATTGTCCTTAGTAATTGAACTAACCAAAGATGGATTTGTTGTCAACTGTCTTCAAAGTTGTTAGCGGCTTATCCAAAGCCGGGTTTAACTGCAACTGAATCAGCATTTTAAAGTCGTAGCTTCAGATTAAGTCATAGTTTTTGAAGCCACAATTTGTATCATGGCTAGAGAATTGTCTACCACAGCTTGAGCCAACGCTCAAGTCGTGCTGTAGTAGCATTGTATTATATATTATTACGTAGCTACAGTAACAATGATTTTAAAGCAATATAGTATTTAAAGAAGTCATACAAGCATTAACAACTCTAAAAATCTTTAATAAGCTGAAATTGGTCTATAAAACTCTTCGTCATATAAAGTCAGGTTTTCACATGAGATTTTTTCAATTGAATATTATCAATTAAAATATTAATTTAATATGAGCTGTTTACCTCTCATTTAACTTCTTATCCACATGCAGATTAGTATGACCAGATCTGTGCGGCATGGGGTGTGAAATACTCTACTCCGGCGGCGTTATGTTAGTATTGATGAATTAGTATGCTATGCTTTTTAAAGAGGTATTTTTACACTCTATATTTATATACATATAAAAATCTTATCATTTCTTGTTTGTTTGAATTATAGTGCCTCATATCAATATAGTTATGTTGTATTTAGTTGTATACCCGATAATTATTTATCTGAATTCAAAGCTATATTCTCTAAATGCAATGCGACAGGATCATATGCAAAAATTTAGCCAAACGTGCACTTAGCATTTAGGGAGGTAAAAATCTATAGGCATATATTAGTTGGGCCCATGAGAAGACGTGCTTTTAGGGAGGCTTTTCATAGGACGTGCACTTGGGGGTTGCATTTGGGGTCTGACTTAGTGATGCGACCCAAACTATTTACGGCAAATAACGGCATTACGAAATCCCAAATATATATTAGTTTGGGATAATTACGTCATAAGTCCCAAACTAGTTTTGCCAGTTTGGGATACGGCAAGTGCCGAAACTACTAGGTTTGGGTCGCATCACTAAACTATCTGTGTTAGAGTTGTCCAACATTTTCTAAATTAAGCTTATACTCATCCGTTCCTGGTTTAGTGCGACAATGTCGCGCAGCTACTTATTCCTATTAATGTGAATCAAGATCATCAAGATCGATACTTTGCTAATGGTCATTATTTCGATAAGTCATTTTCGGCCCATTCAATTTGCTAAGATAGGAATTCTCTAAAGAAATATTATGTATGTGTTACAGACTTTTTGTACTAAACGTTGCTCTATAAATAGTATTCTATACGTACGTACGTACGTACGTATCAGTTTGCCAATTCGCTTTGTGTCTTCATCAGTAAGTTGGTTTATAAAGTTATATTAATATTATATAAAATTTTTATATTGGTCTACAAATCCAATGTAGACTTACGTATGCACATAATAATGGCTTATATATGACTACGTAATTTTTATAGAGGGCTAGTTTTTATACCCCCACATTTATTATCCATACCCCACAAAACAAAAACTTGAGTGATGATATCTCGGCAACTACCTGATAAAATTTTATGAAGTTTTTTTATTTTGATTTTATGGTTTAGTTTATTTGAATAAAATCGAATTTGGTCAGGAGGTTGTCAAGATAGATTTGCTCAAATTTTTAAATAAAAACTCAAAAGGCCTATTAAAATAATTCTTTAAAACTTTGAGCAAAGATATCTTGACAACCACCCAACCAAATTCGATGAAAAATTTTTCATTCATTTCGTCAAACTTATATAATCAAAATAAAAAAATTTATAGAAGTTGATCAGGTGGTTGTCGAATTATGGGGTGAGTCAATAGAAACCAGGCAAATTGGTTCTAAGTAAATTTTTTTTAGACTTTAAATTAAAATATCTCAACAACTATTAAACCAAACTTGATAAAAATTTTTTAGTTATAGAATTAAAATAAAAAATTTTATCAAGTTTGGTTTAATAGTTGCTAAGATATTTTAATTTAAAGTTTTAAAAAACAATTTACTAAAACAATTTGTCTGGTTTCTATTGACCCCCATATCTTTACTCAGAGGTTTAAAAAATTCAACAAAATAAAAAGCTGTACCAAATTTTTTAAACCTTTGAGTGAAGATGTCTTAACAATCACCTGATTAAATTCAATGAATATTTTTTTTGAATTCTCTAA